CGAGAAACAGTGCAAATCACTAAATGCTGGCACCAACTAATTTAATAGCTTCCACCAATAGGCCACATACAATTCGCAACCTGGTCAAATAGCATACATCAATTATGGTCAGTGTCCGAGACGACCACGTTACCACTGCTCATAGAACAACCGAATAGATGCGGAAAGCGACAGAAGAAACAACTCATGACTCGTTTCCGTTTCTTTTCTATTCTTTCTTCCTTATTTTAATTACCTATAATTCCTTCCCACCACCATATCTCCACCTACGAGATCACACATTCACTAACCAAAACATCCTACCTACAAATTGCAAACTGCCCGACATCCACCCCACCCAATGCCATGGCCGGCAATCAAATCTCAAAAAAAATCCTCCACGCATTCTCTAAAAGTTCACTACAAATTGACATAAAAGTCGCTACTACATTCAACTAAGCGCGAACATTTGATACCATCGCTACAAACTCCTCAGAGCCAATAAGAAAGACATCCCTACACGACTCGGCATCACCTTGCGATTGCGCACGGGGACGGAAGGCCATCGTGCAAGGCCTTCTGTGCACAGCCACGAAACCCGTCCTCAGTTGCCCGCCACGAAGCAACGTAGATGACGACGCTCCCAGTGCCTTGCAAGGCACAGCCTGCGCTGTGGCAGAGGCCGAGGCCGAGGCTGCCGAATTGCGAGGTGCTGCTGCTACCCGCAATGTGACGCTAGAGACCAGATGAGACTCCAACATGGTGGACGCCATAGCTGCTGCTGCTGCGGGGACACTATGCAATTCGGGATGGGAGCGAGCAATTGCTATGAGTCCTGCTTCTTCTTCTTCGTCGTCCTCCTCTGCAATGGTGGCTGGTTTCTCCCTCTATGGCTCAGCTCGAATCATCTGCTCATCCTCATCCATCCATTTGAGGTTCTTTCCCCCGATTCTCATCCTTCTTCCCTCATCCACTCATTCTGGGTTCTTTCCCCCGGTTCTCATCCATGCCTCTTCAACCGTCCAGTTGACGTTCATCGCCAACCTCTTTGATACCATCCATTACATTTGCCCAAATTATGCCCAAGTTATGCCCAAATTCCTTTGGTGGGGCCACTTCATCATCCAAACCGTTCAAACCCCTGACCATTGACTATGGAAATCTACGGTAGAACATAAGTATTGCCAAAACGGAGGGGTGAAAACATTTATATTTATTTCAAATAATCTTACAATAATCCTCAAGGAGTAAAACTTTGAGACCCAGTTCTTTCTCTTTATTTTATCATCCTAATTTTTAACAATGAAATATAGACTGCAGTAAATATAACTAATATTGAAGAAAACAAATTAAGAACGTATGCAGATAAATAAAACAACTATTATTTCAAAATCATAATGGTGAGAAGAAGAGGAAAAAAAAAAAAAAAATGATATACTACTAAAATAAAATGATAAATGTCTTCTAAATTTAGTAAATAAAAATATTTAAAAGATTACAAAAACATGATATTTCTGTAAATGATTACAATTGAAAATTAGTGCAAAGAACAAATTGCATTGAAATCCTCAAAGAAATTAGTTTGTTTATAATTTTTATTACTATGAAATCACCTGCTTATATAAATATCAATATTTTTCGCAATATTTGCAATATAAACAACAAAATTAACCGTTCTACAAAAGTTAACATAAAATAAAAATATTTTTTCAAGCGCACATGAGTGTAATAGACACATGCGGTTTTGATATTTTATAATAGTACATTAAGTGTATATACGTTAAGTGAATGCTATTGCTATGTTTATAATATATATGGCATGCGCAACTTTAAGACTAAATGCATTCAGGAAGAAACTACCAAGCAAAAAATTCAATAAATTTTGATTGCAATGCGTAATATTTAATCTACATGATACACACAATGAAATTATTTATAAAAAGAAGCAATACTCCACCTTCCCAAGTATCCCAAATAGACATTAAGAAACCTTTCAAACAGAATATACCACAGAACATGACAAACGATTATCGTCGATGGATGAACTTAATAACACGTCGCGAACACACATATCGTTCATCCATCCCTTGCAGGAAATGCCACACTCGACAGGGCGGGGTACAACAGAAGTGCGGGAGAACGTGGGGTTTGTCGAGGGATGGCGGGGCAACTTCCCGCCAAACGCCAACACTTCCCGGCGCAAAGAGGGAGGAAGAAGCTGCCCACAAATCCAACTCGTGTGGGATTTAAAAAGTGCCACATCATAGGAACGGAGTCAGCAGATCGGGACGTCAACCGTCTCGGCCGGTGGCCTGGTCCATGCGTCCAGAGGCCACCCCTCCCCCCCGTTGTCCACCATCCCGCCCGGCCCGGCCCGGCCCAACCCGACCCGTGGGGGAGGGAGGGTCTCACACTCGCGCGCTCTCTCTTGCTCCTTAGCGTGGAGCCTGTGCTTGAGAGGAGGCAAACCCTTTCTGAAGCCCAACGCACGCTCTCGCTCTCACTCAGCCTTCCTTGCCTGTCGTGAGAGGTTTCCCGTGTTCTCTAACTGGCCGTAGTGTGTTGTGGTGCTCCTCTAGCGTTTCTGCTCGCTCCCGATCTTCCTCGCGTCGCACGTCCGGCTCGCTCGCCCAGGTGCGTTCATTCCCCCCCTTCGTTTTCTTCTAGCCTCCATCGCCGCACTCTCGTTGCAGTCCCCCGCCCCCTTCCCCTCTTTCTTGTGAGCCTCAATTCGGAGTCTTTTTTTTTTTTCGTCTGACTTAGGAGTTGATTGTGTGTGTTTTTTTTATCGAGTGTGATTTGCATGGGTGTTCGTGGTAGAGCGCGCTGATACAAGGGCTGGGGTTAGTTGTGTCTTGCGAGGTGGCTAGCCTTTATGGCGTTTCTTATTGGTTGTTTTTTTTCGAGAGGGTCAGTGGGCTTGGTATAGTGGACCAGGTTGTGGTCATGAGTGTGGTTTATGTGCTTCTTAGTGTTTCGTAGCTGGTTTTCTTTATGTGCGGGTTGAAGTGGGGGCTTCGGGGTGTCTGGCGTGCGTTGTTTTAGGTCGTGGTGCTTCCTGGGTTGGATATGCGTGCGTCGTGTGCTCGTGGTTGTGGTCATGACTCCATGCAGGCGAATTCGCAAAATCGCCAGCTTGATTGTAGGCCTGTTTGGGAGTGGTCGTATCCTGGTCTTCGGGGTTTGGTTGCGGCATTCTGTTTTGATTTTGTGTGTGCTAGTTTCTCGACGGGCATTGTGGAGCAAGAATTGATTGGAGAAATTGAAGTTTGTTGCTTGATCGCGATCAGTGCATCAGTTTGGAAGCATAGCGCAGAAATAGTGTTTGACTTCATTAGAATATTGCACAAATAATTCGTGTTCTCAAGCGATGTTGCGCAGACAAGGTCGTAACTCTCGCAACAATCTCGTATGTTCTGAAGAGGCTTGTTGATGAGGATCTGCGATGTGTGGCGAGGCTGAGATTGTGCATGGGGTGGCAATGCAGGTGTTGCACAAGAGATAATTGGGGGGAATTGTCGGGGGATGGTTGCTTAAGCTTGGCATTGGATCATCATCGCTCCGTTGGCGCAATCTGTGAAGATGAAGGAAGCAAAGGGCAAGAAAGGAGGTGGTGCGGTGGCGAAGGAGAGGGTGCCGAAAGTCCAGGACAAGTAAGCATTGTGGGGTGGATGATGGGCACGTGTTGTGGTGGTGTGCCTGTGGGAAACGAAAACATATGGCATGTGATGCCATGTGACGTGACGTAAGGTGATGTGACGGCGTTTTTGTGATGGTGATGGTGATGGGGGTGGTGGTGGGGGTGCAGGGACATCAAGAAGCGGAAAGGGGCGGTGAAAGAGACGAAGGCGAAGAAGCCGAAGGGTGGCAAGAAGTTGAAGGACCCGAATGCGCCGAAGCGGCCGCCGACGGCTTTCTTCATCTTCTTGTGAGTTTGGGGTGTGGTGCAGATGAGGGGAAGGTGATGGGAGATGGGGTGTTGTTGGGAGGGAAAGCGGGGGGACTGATGGGGACGGTGGGTGGCGGTGTGGCAGGAACGAGTTTCGGGAGGTATTCAAGAGGGAGAACCCGAACGTGAAGGGAGTGACAGCGGTGGGAAAGGCGGGAGGAGAGAAATGGAAGTCGATGTCAGAAGCTGTGAGTAGGCTCGAAGCTTGAGTTGGGTGGTGGTTTGAGAAGGAGGGTGGGGGAGTGGACGATGTATGTGTGGTGGTCGGGGTGGATGGGTGCTGAAGGAGTGGGTTATGGGTGTGCAGGAGAAGCAGCCTTTCATGACGAAGGCGGTGCAGAAGAAGTCGGAATACGACAAGACGATATCGGCGTACAACAAGAAACAGGTGGGTTGGAGGAGGGTGGAGGTGTATGAGGGAGTTTGGGGGGGGGGTGCGGTTTGGAGGGAATGGGTCTGAAAGTGGTGGGGGTTGTGGAACAGGATGAGGACGCGGAAGAGGTAGAAGCGGAGGAGTCGGACAAGTCAAAGTCGGAGATCAACGACGACGAAGACGAAGAGGTGGGAGTGGGAGTGGGTGTGAGGATATGAGTGGTTGAGTTGTGGGGAATGTGGCTGGTTGAAGTTCCGTTGCTTTATGGATGTTGCTAGTTTGGAAGAGCGGGATGTGGTTGTGTAGGTGTATGTGTCTGATCGTTACATGGTGGTATTTGCAGGAGGATGAGGATCTGGATGGCTAGGTGATCGAGCACTGATGCTGTAAGAATTAAGTGACTGATATGGTGGGAAACAGTTGCTTGGTGGGGTGGGTATTGAAGCAGAGGCGTGCGATTAAGTGGGATGAGAATTCTCATAAGGCGGGAGGAGCTCGTGTGTGACGCGTCGGATTGGAGATGAATAGGAAGTCACGGTTTTTGGGGTTGTAGTTCCGGCAGTGTCTTCGGGCTAGCGCGGTCTGTGAAGGGGACGGGAGGGAATGGAAATGAATCGAAAGGATAGTGGAGGATATGTGGTAAGGTGAAGTTGGTGGCACGGTCGTATTTGTAAATGTTGGTCAGGTTGGGGTGTTAGTAGGGGGTGGTGAGAGGAAGTTTGACAGTTGTGCTTGGTTAGCGGTGATCCTGTTAGTAGGAGACTGGATCGATTGTATTATGATGCAAGAGCAGCTCCCTTGTGGGGATCTGTATGTTGATCTGTATGAAGGATCCAAGGTCATTTTCTTTGTGTACGATATTGATTCTCTTTTTATTTTGATTTTCCGTCTTGTTTTCAGTTCTGAATTTCTTACTTGGCGTTGCTTATTTTTAGCTTTGTTAGCTGCTGGTGTTTTCGTCAGGTGTTTGCGGTTGCATTTTCAGGTCTCAGTTTGTTTGAAGTTGAGTTGGGCTTAGTGATGCTGGTGTGATGTGGTTTGACTTTCCAGC